AGGTTTTGAAGTTTTTATCTTGAAAGAAAAAAAACATATTTATGTTATTACAACCCGTCAGTTCTTAATGCATCAGTCTGGACAAAATATATAACTGTAATAAATCACACTGTCTCCACCTCTTTAACTTCTTTTGCTGAACTGCATTATTGATTTCTGTAATGTACTTTAAAAATGTATTGCACAAAATAAGCCACACACAGCAACTTAAAGATAGGCATAATTATTTATATTAACAAAGCAATCAATGGTGAGTCACAACTAAAAATCAGTTTAAACATATGAAGTCTTTTTAAAAACCATCTGCATTAAATCACATTTAATTTGAACCTACACACCACTGTTTCAGTCTAAGAGTTGTTATTGTGATTAATATATGGAGGCAACATGAAAAAAAAAACACATTAAAAGTCAAATGATGAGTGAAAATCAAGAGGGAGAAAATAAAACTCTTTAAAATATTCTGATTACAAGTGACCGACTGTTTGCTATGTTTTTTATATAAGGCAGTAGAACCCATTTTCATTCATATTTCTGAACCCTGATATAAAATATAAATAAAATATGAAGCCTAAACCACATTTATTTTTAGTGAGTAACCAGTTACTGAGCTTCTTTAGTGAGTTTTTTTAAATAATCCAGAGACCAAAACTAGAGTTAAATTACCCATAAATGTTTTCTCAAGGCTGAAGCTACTGTATGTTCAGTTGGATGAGGAACCAAATGCAGTCACACAGAGGAGACAAGCAGCAAAGTCATGGAACCAAAGACACTTTAATACCAGACCAACTAAAGTCAAATAAATTAAACAAGCAATGGCATCAACCCAAAGGGCAGGTGGATAAAAAAAAGATCTGACAAAGAGCAAAGGAGAGTTTGTGAGTACAAAAACACAGAGGGAAGTAATTACAATAATCTGTAGGTTTGCTCATTTACTGAAACCAGGCACAAGTCAGAAACAGGAAGTTAAATTACCCAAAAGTACAAAAGCAAACAACTTTCCAAAATATAACCAAAACTGAATCAAATGACAAAAACATCTAAATACTAAAAACAAGATAACTTTCAACTAAAGATGGAAACAACCAACTGAACAACAAATGACTGAACCAACAAAAAGTGAAGCAAGATGTTCAATAAAGACCCTGAGAAGAAAAACTAATTTTAATTGTAAGCACACACAATTTAAGTTTATTCATCGGCAGGTCCTCTTTGCATTTAATGCACATTGGCGCTCTGAGTTTATGTTGATTTATTCACAGCTGTATTTAATTTCCAGCTGTGCTATTAAAGAAGGGAGCCGAACAAAACAAGCCTCCTCCGGTCATCAACAAACGCCACACAAGCTGCAATAAAAGCTGCTCTTTCAACCCTGGAAGACCCAAATGAATAACTTTGTGGTTTTTCTCTTAAGACGATCCACTTGTGAACACCAGCGCTACTCAAGCGTCCCTCTCAAGGACACTCGAGGACACAATGGCACTCTTATTATCTACACTTCACACTAATATAATCACCTACATTCAGCGACAGGGAAGCCAGTGCAAATAGGCTAACCCGTTCAAGTGGGCTGACATCATTCCAGGACAGAAGAGGCAGAAGGAAACCCATCAGCACTGATGGAAGGACGCGAGGCGACAGACAGCAGACACAAACAGAGAAGCGAAGCAGGATGGAAAGGTCCTAATAGGAAGGGACAAGTGTTGAGAGTTCAACAGATAGTGAAGGACAAGGCAAAGGCAGCTGGAAGCATCCTTTTAGGCTGAGTGACATCTCTGCTGAACACATCTGAGACTTCAAGTGAGTCACAAGCTCTCAATTCTAACACAAAACAGCAAAGCCTTGTACCTGTCACAACTGGTTAGAATGATCCGATGGTTTCAAAAGCACAAAGTGCCACAGGAGGAACGGAAATCTGGAATTCTATAAGATTTTACAAACAAATGAAGGACTTTAAATTATAGTGAAGATAACCCATCTGCAGTATATGGAACGATGTCGACGCAAAGATTTGTAGATGAATTTCGTGAAAAAATACGATTTTGTGGTAATTGCATCTGTGAAAAAACATCTAAAGACAAAAATCCATCAACTCACTGTGACCGTAACTTGTTTCCCTCCCAGGGCTGTTTCCAGTTGCAGGTGACGCCACGGGGTACCACATGCCGTCAGTTTCAGCTGATGTGGCTCTGGCAAAATGCCATTCACTCAGACGTCAGAGCTGACCATTCAGCAGATCCACAATTAACCACTGCTCACAAGAGGACAGGAGCGAAAGGGTCTGTGTCAAGACGGAGGGGGGGGCGCAGAGGTGATGTTGGAAGCAAGGGGGGGAGTGGGCGTGGCATAGGCGGAGTCCAACGGCGCCAGTTATAGGATTACCCAGATTATCCTTCCACGAAGATCAGTCCCGCGGAAACGGTTCACTGCGCTGATCAGCCAAGTCCACTTGCCTTGTGCCTGTGTCTGCGCAGAGACACCTGTTGTTCAACAGAGGTGTCAGGCGTGGGGGGGGGGGGGTGTCAAGCTTAAAATGACCACAGAATGACCAGAAGAGTCCGATAACGGCTTTGTTTGAAGGATAGGAAGGGGGAAAAGACACAACAGAGACATCAGAGGTGTTTAAATAATAACTTTTCCTTGTTTTGTTCTTTTTATCTGCACCAAGGGTATACATGAGACGGAACGGTAGAATGTCGAGGGAGAAATTGAAGCAGATATTAAACAATCATCCCTTTTATCTTCCTTCAAAGCAACCTGCGACCACCCCTATCATCCTAAGAAACAAACAGGACTGCATGCTGAACGGCGGGGCTGAGTTGCCTGTGTGGATGTATTAGTATGTTTGTTGTGTTTAGTGAGTGTTGGAGCATTCCAGGATGTCAGGAATTGTCCTTTTGTCAGTGCTGTGGGATGGACAAGAAAACACACAGCAAAGTGAAAACCCAGATGCAAACACCGGCCAAAAATATACCTCGGAGGCAAAAGGGGGAACAATAACTCACAAATCCCATGGGAACCTAAATAAAACTACAAAGACACTAATATGAAATATGATCCTTGTGAAAGCACTGAGGCCTTCTACATGTGTGGAAGAATTGTTTTATTTTAAAGAAGCAGCACAGATACTTTGACTTATACGGTGTTCAACCATTGCAATAACGTTAAAAACCTGAGCCGTTCCCGGCATGTGGGCATGCCTTTTATTTTCATGGCTAAACAAAGCGTTTTTGTGCAGAACACCTGTGTGGATCAACTGACCAACACATTACTCAAAGAGGAGACTCTATAGTAACTATATCCTCCCAGTGGCAGGAGCTTGGCAAGAGACTCACTAGAGCAAGAAGGAAGGAAGACAAAACTCTCCTCTTGTTCCAGACAACAATGGTTAAATGAAGATACTCTGTTTATTCTTAAAAACACCTTGTGTTATGATAATGTGCCCATACACATCCTGTCACCATAACCCTGAGAGTCCTATTAAGAAATTACAGATGCAACATAGATTGTGAAGGTATGGTAGAAGGATAATTGGCAGCACTAAATTTAGGGAACATGCTTCTGATCTTGTAATAATCTCATCAGCATGCTCTCGTCTCAGGAGGAAAGTTTTTTTTCCTTCTATCAGCAATAAGATTTTACAGTTTGGAGGGAAAACTATGTTAACTAATAAGATTTTACAGTTTGGAGGGAAAACTATGTTAACTAATAAAATTTTACAGTTTGGAGGGAAAACTATGCTAACTTATAAGATTTTACAGTTTGGAGGGAAAACTATGCTAACTATGTTAACTACTATATTAAACTGCATGTCGATGGAGGTAAAACATTGACGGGTTACATTGACATTGAAAGAGATTTGATATGGAAAAAAACATGGTCACTGAAAAACTTGTACTCTCATTTTATGTTGAAACTTTGTTTTCGGACGAGAAAATTTTTTATTTTAGTTACTGCAAGATGTCAATGCTTCGATGTCGAAGGGGGCGGGGTTAGGTGGAAGGCTCCTTCACAGAACTTCGRTAAGCTTTAGTTTAAGGTACATCTTCTCAACTACAGGGAAGGGTCTTGTTATAATATTAGAAACTAACAAGTGCCCAACCTATTTAGAAGTGTGTGTGGTGCAGGGTGTACAAAAACAGACAGAAACAATCAATAAAAGATGAGGGTCTTCCCATCATTATCGCCCACCCCCAAAACACAATTAACAAACCTCCAGTCCTAAGAACTTATTTTAGGTTATCTAGCAGCTAAAGTTAAATCTGATTCACATCTTCGAAATATAAGTGGTCAATTAGCTTATTTTAAAATCAAAACTGAGGCACTTTTTGGTTTCCACAGCTAATTATAATAATCATAACAACAAGACCCTTCCCTGTGGTTGAGGAACTACACTTGAACCTTCCATCAGTGGACTGCAGGTAGATGTAGAGGATGAGTGGAAAAATAGGTCCATTTAACCCCGCCCCCCAATGCAGAAAAAGTGACAGCTTGAAGTGACAATGTAAGTAAAACAGCTGAAGTGGCACTGAAATTTTGTCTCATTAGCTGCGTTTCCATTGATCATGAAAATGCACAAATTAGAATTTCGAAAATAAATTTGCTCAATGGAAACGTCAATTTTGAAAAAAAATTACGTTTTTCGACAAAATCTTTTTGCTGGAAAGCCTCGATAAAAGACGCCGACTTCTCTTCTGATGATGAGCGCTAGTGTCGCGGTAGCAACATGCTATGTGTTTGCATCCATTGCCGCCATGTTTGTAATGACTTATCGTGAGAACAAGCGTATTCATGCGTYACTTTAATAGTATTTCTTACTTAATGGAAACACCGCAGTTGCGAAACTGTGTTTTTCGACATTAACAGAATATCGACAAAGTTTTGCGCACATTTGCAATGGAAACGCAGCTGTTGAGAAGCTGTCACTGTTTTAGCTCAATACATGTCTCAATATTTGTAAAGTAGTGAAAACCATTGGAAAAAATGTTTTTAACTGACTATGTAAGGTACTCTATGTGTCACTACATTAGGGATTAAATTCTCATTAACTAGCTGAATCAAGCCTGACATGACCTTCAGATTGCAATAAACAAAGTGAACAACAGCAAAAAAAAAGGACTAAATGAGTGGTGTGCAATAAATCCAGTCATGTTTATACAGTATATGCTAGTATTCTGTCAGTTGTAATGAGGATAGAAAGGAAAGAACTTTAACATGTGTTTTAATCAAATTTATAGTTTCGGTCCTAATTTTTGAAAAAACTGGAAAATGGACAAAAAAACAATTATGATTAAAGATTATTAAATTTCACTCTCTTTCTGCCTTGCCTCGTAAATGAGCTGCAGCGCCTCGAGGGAGGCGAGGGGGTGGCAGCATTCAGAAATAATAATTAACATCAAAGTTTCTAACAAATCAAGCAATGTCCTATCCATTTTTGTCGGTACATAAATGACTGGAAACAAATGAGGAAACAACTGTTCCTACTGTTAGATTAAAACAGGTAAGCTGTGGAATCATGTATTCTGTTATAAAAAAAATAATAATACAACTACACCCATTTTAGAAAAACACGATTATATCTCTGTTAACTCTGTGTTGAAAGCTCAACACAACAGTTGAAGTTTAGAAGGAAATATGAAATTTTGATTCTATGAACTCTAGCGATTTAAAGATGTGAAGAAGATTTATTTTACAAGAGAAACAAATGTTTCTTATAAGTTTTTTATTTCCTGGCATGTTTTTTTTTTATATAATTGACTTAAAGACAGATTTTACTAAAGTGCTTAAAACACTGTATTTGTTTACATTTTTGTTTACATTGGTCAACATTCATAAAGACTTGGATTTAAAATGAATGGCTATCCAAATTAATTGATACAGTTATTGTATCATATAGGAACACACATTTTTGTGAAAAATCTAGTTGAAGCCCTATAGTTTATTATAAGTGCACTATGTTGCTGGTTTCATTTGTTTGTATTAACAATTCTATACAATTTCCTACATTTGAATATAGATTTAAGCAAAAACTGAATCTAAAAGATACATTTTCCTGAGACCCGACAGTGAAATGAACTATGACTGGGGTCAAATATATGACTTTTTTTTCTTTACAAAGAAAGAAAAACAATTCTACAAATTTATCCCATTACAAGTTCATATTAAACATCTAGGACAGACACTGAGACAAGAAAAATGTCTCTTTCCTGAAGAAATTAGCAAAAAAAAAAAGATCAACTCAAAGGTACAAAGAATGTTTTATTTTGAAATTGAATGATGAACAGAAATTACTTTAGCATTAGAGTTGATGACGTAAAAAAAGTTTRAAAGAGCAAATAACATGTTGACACCTTCCAAAAATCATTGTTTTTCAGGAAACAAAAAAAAAAAAAACTTAAGCGAAATGTACCATATATTGTTTATTAATAAAATTTGGGGAAAAAAGACTTACCGGTAAGTGATTATTTAAAAAAGGTGTTGGTTTTAAATTATTAATGTTGTTCAAAAAAGGGCAGTTATTTTATATTTACAGCTTGATCCCAGTGACGTAAATTCAAAAGTTTGAATTGTTTCATCTATAAAAGCCAACGATTTATCACTGAGCAAGAATACAGTAAAACKCGTTTTCTGACAGTCTGAGTGCAAAACATCACCGAGCTGTAAACACAACAAAAGTCACTGAGCAACATGGGTGTGCATAGACGGGAATAATTTGGCCATGCCAATTGAAAAACACGTTGAACAAACTCGTGAAACAGGATTTGCAGGAAGAAAGTCTAATAAAAAAAACACACATTCATTCTTACAAATACATTTTTGGAAGATAATGATTGTAGATACAACTCTCTGTTTGAATCTTCTGCTTCATTTGTTAATATGAAAATGTTTGCATAATAATATATCAAATCAAGAAAAAGGAGAGTTTTAAAGGGGAAATATGCCATCAAACACATTTTGTTGTGTGCTTAGAGCAGGGGTGCCCAAACACTTTCCCCGAGGGGGCCAAAATGAAAATCTATTCATGGCTGTGGGCCAAATGCAGTTATATAATACATGAAATACAAACACTTTTTAAAATAAAATTTAACCATTAAGCTATGCAATGGCCTTCTTTTGTTTTAGTCTGTGTACTTGGAGAAAGTCTGCCATACGCTCAAGTAGCAAAGGCTCATGGGACATATCATAAATTAATAAAATATGAGTTTTTGTGGCCTTATAAAGTGTG